ATATAGAAAGAGCATTTTCCTAGAGCATTAAATACTAGAAATAGTAGCAATGAAGAACATGACTCTCTTTGTATTGGGACAAATGAAGCTATCTTGCATACACTGAAATACACTACAAACTTCTTTAGATTTGGAGCATTAAATAGAGTCTTCCTGGTATGAGATATTGTCAATTGATGGCATGAATACCTCAGTAAAATAATTTTTAATGACATAGAGAAAGTTCAGCCTATTCTCAGAATGCTGGAAGAGAAAGCCTACCTTTCCCTTTTGCCTCCCTGACTGTCCTTCCCAAGTTCCAAATTTTCACCCCAATTACCTTCACCGATCCAGAATGCCCTAGTCAGCTTGTCTGCTCCTGCTCTGCATGTAAAGTGGGAATAGAACAAATAGCCTTCTTGTTTACCATCTCTCTTAAAAGACATACCTAGAAACGCATCTTAACTGACTTTCACTGACATTACAAATAGAGAAGGTGGAACCCACTTAGAATAGTGTAACACTGAAGTTTTAATGTACTAAATCCTCACCTTAGGCTCTAAAGCAAAAAGTACAGCCATTGGAAAAGGCAACATGGGAGAGTGCATATTCCAGAAGATCTCTGAAAACTCACATGGGAAGAAAAGCAAATACTCCCATCTAGAGTATTCATCCATGGGCATTCTAGAAATGTCCGCATTGTATCAGTACAAAAGTTTCGTTTCCTTCAAAGCTATTGAGAAACAACCTGTATCACACACACATATATGCATGTATACATTGATATGTATGTGTGTATAGACACACAGATATAGATATATACAAAGTAGCAATTATCGTCCAACAAAACTTATCTGCTTGGTTTTCAAAAGCCATGAAGATCACAGTAGGACGAAAAAAATGGCCCAGAAAGAAAAGAAGAATGAGCAAATTCACAGTGAATCATTTTATTCGAACTTTTGTTTCTACTTCCACATTTCAAATCAGATAAACAAGTAACACAATTCTAGGTCTTGTTACTGTTGTGTGTTTTGTTTTGTCCTGGTAAAAATAATAGAGCAACTGCATAAAATACACTGTATCAACTCATTTAGTAGTCAGAAAAGTCACATGAGGTAAGTATCATCATTTCATTTTTCCAAATGAGGTACAGCGAGGGAAACTGAGGCCCAGAGAGGCACCCAGAGTTACTGTTCACAGCTTGCATTGGCATTTTCTTGAACATTTCTCTTTTAACTGACGAAATGTAAGAAAATTCCCTTCCCGAAATGTTCTATAAATTCTAGGCTATAAAGCATCAAGTCACAGTCAGAAGGCACCAAAAATGTGCGCGTGCGGAAGCCATGCGTGATGCATAATGCATACCGCAGACCTAGGGCTTGTTGCAACTTATGCTGGAGCAGCAAAGCGAATTCGGTCCCAACGCTTTAATATGTATGCGTATGCATGGGAAAGAGACAGAGGAAGCCTTTGTTATTACACATGGCCCCAGAGGAAGCCAGTGCCCCGCAGCAAGTTCTTTCTTGGAAATCATGGAGGGGACTCCCTTCGCCATCTGGGTCGCGCGCGGCCCCCGGGGTCCAGGGCGCATGCGTGGCCCGGCGGTCGGGGCGCTTACCTGGTGCGCCGTGCGCGCAGGCACAGGGCCAGGAGCAGCAGGGCCGTGGCCAGGGCCAGGCCGGGGAGGCTGAGCGGCTCCAGCGAGAAGCGGCCCATGCCCGCCGACACGTCTCCCGCCCTCCGGCGCGCGCGAGGCCGTGTAGGCAGCTCGGGGTCCCCCTGCGAGCGGCGCGGGCGGCGGCTCTGCAGCCTGCGGCGGCTTCTCTCGGCGGCGCCCCCTCCTCCGGGCCGGAGAGGCTGGCCTGCCCGCAGCGCACACAGGAATGCCGCTGCGGGTCCCGGAGCCTGAGTCACAAAGTTCGTGGACTCCCCTCTCCCCGCCTCCCGCCCCTCCACCCCCGCGCACCGCCCCTCTCCACCCGGGCCAACGGTCCGGCAGCTTCTGGAAAACAGCACCCTAGTTCTTCTAGGAAAGGAAGAAGGGCCAAAGAGGGGGAGGGAGTGGGCAGGGGTTAGCATTTCCCGAGCACCAGCCCCTAGAGGCCTGGAGGAAGGGGGTTTCACTTCTGAGTTGGAAGGAAGCCCCTTGGGTTCCTCAGCCCTGAGCGGTGCTCCGCGGGAGGAGGGACCTGCCTGTCCCCGAAGAGCATTGGGACGGTGCCCGCGCTCTGGCACCGCGATCTCTTAGGCAGGACCCAGGGAGCCAGGCTACCTCCACCCCCTCCCCCACCCATGCCCCCCGCATTGTATTTATTCACACTTTTTTTTTTTTTGAGGGAAAATGTGTGCAAACTCTGGTGCCAGAGGCCCCGAGATGCGGAGACCTGGGCTGTGATCCCTCAGAAGTCCCGTGAGGATCTCAGCCCGAGGAAGAGAGCCAGACTTCTCAGGACTACGGAGGCAAGTTCAAAATTGGTCTCCACACCTCTGATCTTTGACCCTTTCAGTCTATCAATCGTCCCCATTGCCTAAAACCACCCTAATGTTTGCTTTTGTGATAAAGTCAGAAATCTTCCACCCGCCAAGAGATGCCCCCACAATTTGTCTCCGTTGCACTGCTCCCCTGGCTAGTACAGTCTACCGGAACTTGAGCTTGAGTCACTCTGTCCTACACATTTAGCCTGTTCACACTTGTTTACCGTGTTGTCTCTGCCTGAAAATTGTCCTCTCTCCTCTACATGCTGAAATTCTACCTGCTTCTCGAAGCCCAGCTCAAATACCACTTCCTTCTAGTAAATATCCCAAACTACTTTTGTAATTAATTTTTCCTCCCCTAGACATCTGAGACGGAATAGGGACAGGACTCAGGGCCTCACCCCTGACCACAGAAGGCAACATGGGCATCATAACCTTGCCCAGTAATGTTTTTCAGAGCCGCTGAAATAAACGCAGGCTGATAAAGCACCTGGCTGCATAAGAACCAGACCTATCAGGAGCCAACCACCTCAAGGCAGAATAGACACCCACACTGATCTTACCCTGACTTTCTCTTCGTTGTAATCTCACTTAAATGCTAAAAATCCCGCCCAGGGGTGGAGATTTAACTTGCTAATGGCACATGCGATGCATGAAGAAGCATATAACAAAACTACTATGGCAGGCAAGAAAATCTCCACCTCTACATGCCTACACAGTGCAGCACCTTTTTCTCACCTAAGCCTCTTTTAAATTCTCCCTGAATTCCCCAGGGAAACCAGGCTGAGGCCTGTATTTGTGCTGTCTCCCTTGTGCTCCAGCATAAGCCCCAATAAAGGCTTGCCTGTGTCTCCCCTTCAGCCTCTTACCATCTTGTCATCTATGGCATAGAGAGCCCAAGGGCCTGCACGGTTATCACTTCTAGCACTCTGTTACTGCTTTCACCATTATCGTCATTTCCTACTGTAAAAGGCAGGGACCACCTCTAAGACAACCTTGTCTGCACACACTTTCTACCATCCCGCTTCCCTGATCTGCCACCCTGGCATTGAGATCATGGAATTAGAAGCTCTGCCACTGAATTACTGCTGTATTACTAGCTAGCACCAGAAGCTTAATGTTTAGGAACATCTTTGTCATTATGTTCTATTCCAGGGTCTTTCTGTGGCCTCACCTTCCTCCTTTTGTACATTCCATTTTCCAGGAAGTCCAAAAGGGTGCAAGGTGCCAACAGCCGCTCTGTCTTCTCTAAGGCAAAGCAAATGGAGTGTTTTCCATCACTGCCTGGCCAGCAGGCCAGTGTTCAGGATGGTATCCATGCCGTGGATTTCTGTAACCACTGTGGAAAGCCACTCACTGATTTTCACAAGAAGTCTCAATCTTTACACTTTTGCTTTCCATTCGATCTCTCCTAGATGACTCTTTTGTTTGAAAATATAGTTAAAAATACTAAGCATTTACTCTATTTATTGAACATTTATTATTTTCCAGTCACCATACTAAACATATTATTTCATCACATTAATAACAGCAAAGACCTATGGTTAATCACACTGCCTTAGGGAAGTGGGAAGAGAAAGCCTACAGCCATCTATCTACTAGATTTGGTTAGCAAGTGTCATATTCCTGTGGTATTGGTATAGTACCTTAGGTCGCTTTATTATAGACATGCAATAAATTTTAAATATGTTTCTCTTGGGTTTTCCATTTTTGCTAAACATGACCTCCATTCTATAAACTAACCTGGCTAAAAAAAAAAAATCTAGGGGTATCTCTTATTCCTCTCTTACTTTTGTAACTCATTATCAGCATTGTTATGTCCAATCTAGTTCAATTCTGTTTGATCTCCAAAATATGCCTTTATCACCATCACTTCTCTAATACAGATGACTAGGAGACCCTCCATAGCCACTCACCCTTTCCTCCTCACTAACAGAGTCTTAGGGTTTTGACTAAGCACATGACTGTCCATCATAAAGACAACTTTCCCAGCCTCCCATCTAATTAGATGTGGCGTGTGACTAAATTCTCATCAGTAGGCTGAGTATACGTGTGATGGCAGGAACGTGCCCTGAACAGGAATGGACAGGCTCTATGCCTCTTCTTCCTCTTCTGTGGCTAGAATGTGGACACTGTGCCTGAAGCTCAAGCACCTTCTTAGCACATACGAGCATGTCCCAAATATTGTATCCAATATTATTTGTTGTTTATTTGAAATTCAAATTTAACTGGAAATTCCATATTTTTATTTGCTAAATCTGGCAAACATAGCTTAATTCCAACACAAAGATATATACAGGATGCATGTATAGCAGCTATAAAATTCTAGCTAGTCCCCTTCAGAAATCAGCCACAGTTCCTTCAACACTGGCTGCCACTAATAGTGTCTCGGGTACCTTGGCCACACCAATTAGACCAGGCTCAAGAGTCAAACCTGGAAGAGTAATCATGACTGGCCCTTCAGACTGCAAGGTGTCCAGATATGGAAGTATTTTTAGTATTAGATGATGACTGACTGGCCTAATCATATCATCTCTCTTCAGAAAATACTGATTATGAAACACACTGAGAAAGAGAAATAGAAGCAAAATCAGAAGAAAAGGCAGAGGAAGTAAAGGGAGAGGGTGACAGTTCATACTTGAGCAACCCAGGTAACCCTTATATACCAGGTTTCTCTGTTTTTCTTTCTAATCTAGTATTAGGGCTTGAACACTGCCTTTGTTTCCTTCCAGGTCTTCCCTTTTGATTCTCAGAAGCCTATTTGTAGGTCACCAAAACCAGAGTATTTCCCCTAGCATTTCAACACGTACATGCTAATTCTCCTACCCAGACCTCGAAAATACTAATATACTGGATTGAAACCTTCAAGTCCACCTATTTAGTCAACAACTTTTGTTAAGTGCAAACGATATCTGTGGCACTATCGTTGGCCTATCAAACCAATAAAAATGAATGAGATGTCATTTCCTTCAAAAAGCTGAGATGAAGAGGACTAAAAGTGCTCATATTGGACAAAAGAAAGAAAGAGGATTAGTCAATACAAAATTGTGTCGTGACAATGGGGAAGTTTAAGAACGTACACCCATCTGGCTTCAATTCTGTGAGTCCCTGGGAAGCAAATGATGTGCTGGCAGAAGGGTAGATTAGTTGTTGGGAAACATTTGAAAGCACCACTGTGGAAAAAGACAAAGTGAAATTTCACACAATCTTTTTCTAGTATCAGGAAGTCCCCAAAATCAGAGTTGAGTGCCCCACCCCGAAAGGTCCTATCAACTTTTGACATAAAATACAGATTAGATTTTGAATCATATCAAAGTCCAACCCTCTATAACTAAAAAGAATGATTGATGTTATCTTTCTCTCCTTCCCATGAGTTTTATTGTAACTAACTTTGATTTCCTCTCACCTTCTGTTAGAATTAAGACCACCCCTGGGCAAAATTATAAAGTAGAGGAGGGAAAGAAGAGAGGGAAGAAGAAAAGAATTTGAGTGTGTGTTTTACATACATTGTTTCATCTCATCTTCAAAGCCAATGTCTGATGTAGATATTATTATCCTTCCTTTTACATAAAAGAAAACCAAGACTCAAAGAGTTCTAGGACACCCATAATCATTCAGCTCCTTTGTCCAGCTGTGAGGTTGCCCCCTCTTCTCATTGTACCATCTTGGCTGCCTTAGAGTTTTCTTTCACTAACCCTTTACCATACCTGTTCATTCTTGCCTTTATTTTTATGGATCCAGTTGTTACCTTGAGTGATCCATACCTGAGATATCCCATGGGGACAATTGAACCTCTGCTTTCCTTGGCTCTCTTTGGGCCTTGTCTAGCTTTAAGGCTAGTCTCAGTTTTTCCATCAGCAAAATGATATACAGCTACCTTCCCTATACGTTTATGAGGATTGAATTTGAGGAGTAAATATATAACAATGAAAGTGCCTGGAGCGTCTGCCTTTTTTCACAATTGAGCACCTTCTGCTCCACTGGCATAGGGTATAAGTAGAAATGAGTTGATCAGACAAATTCAGCCTAGCTGAAGCGTTAGCTTATTGATATATTACTTCTGCCCAATTAAAATGTAAAATTTTCTGCTTTCTTCTTTCCTTAAGGCAACTATTCAAACTCTGATTGCAGCTGAGATAGCAATAATCACATATACTGACACTGCTATAAGCCTGAAAGTTATTGTTTAATTTGGCACATAGTAAATAGTGAGGCATCATAGATGCAGGCACCGAATCTGGCTAAAAATATCTTAAATCACAAATGCTTCCTCTTATTCTGTCATTTCTTACAATTTAAACAATTGTACTTGTTTTCTCTTTGCTTTAGTTTTTCTTTCTCCTATAAAGCCAGTGTGTAGTGTTGACCTAGCACTCAGTCTGTTATAGGACACATATAGATATAAAATCTTATTAAATAAAATGCTGTTGAATGAGCAAAGTGGCACCCAACAATAGAGAATGTAGTTCCATTTAAGTCTTTTTTTTTTAATAAAGTATAATTTTAGGTAAGACCTGAATATAATTATTTTGAAGCAGCTTCAAAAATGGTGGAACAGATGGCTCTGATTATCTCCAAGAGGAAGGAAAAGATTGGAGAGTTTTGTCATTTCTTATTTAACAGTCTTGGCATTGCTTATACACACTCGAGTTTTGAATACTCTAATTTATAATAAATTCACAATCCCATGCTAAACTTTAGTTCATTCTCACGAACCGACCCTGCTTCCCAGGCCAGGTTTTGAGGCTCACTCTCTCTCTCTTTATCTCTGATTCACACTAGGTCTTCCAACATTTCCTTTCCCCATTAGCCTGTGAACCCAGATTTCTGGGGACAGAAAGCAAAAGGCTGTCTCAGTGCATTCCTTTTAGTAAGAGCCTTTCCTTCCATCCCTCCTCCCCAACTACCTCTTTTCACTAAGGGAATGCTTTGTAGAGTCAAAAACATTTTTTTTTTCAAACTGGGCCAGCTAGTTCCACGAGAAGCAACACTGACCCCTGTTATAGGTCAAGTTCCAGGAGACAGACTCTGAGAAGGACAGCAGCACAAAAGAGTTGATTAGGACAGGCCGTCAGGATCAACACTAGGGGTGGAAAAAAGCTGGAAACAGGCAGAGGGAAAAGGCAAGCTGAAGTCTCACCAAGAGAATCAGCTGAGCCCCAGAAAATATCTGGAACTCAAATGGCCCTTTAGAATTATCCCAAGATGGGGTGAAGGGTTCAGGTCCTTATAGCCCTGCATCAAACTGTCACTGATTGAAGACTGCCTTTAGCTGGCAATTCCTGAGACAGATGATGGCACTCCTAGAAGCCTGGAGCCAAAGTCCTTCTGTGCTGATAGAGAATCTGGTGACAAAACAGAAATGTTTGGGGGTGAGCAGCACATTGATGGCAATGGTTCTTGCATTCTTTCATTTTGGAGTTGTTGTCTCTCTCATTAGCAAAATAGTAACTAACATTCGCCAGTCTGCATCTGAGATAATATGAAAATCACATTTACTCAGTGATTCTAATCTTAGATCAAAAAATGTCTTTAGTTAAGTTTTATTACAATATTGTAACAAGGAAAGCCTCTAGGAGGTCCCCAAACAAGTTGAAACCCCATAAACTTTTATCAGAAAACTACTTCAGCGATTTTTTTTAAGCATTTGAAGTTCTTCCTCAAAGTAGATATAGATTTCATTAAGCAAGAAGTTTGCCACCATTTTTCTTTTAAACTAACATTTTATTCACTCAGCCTCTCACAGTATCCTTGCCTGAAGCAGCACCACTCTCATCAGGAAAGCCACTGGGCTGGGTGCAGGTCGAATTCACAGCCGCCCCTTCCAATATTCAAGCCCCTCTTTAAAGTCTGGAAAAACAGCATTTGGTCTTCACCTCCCAATTTCTTATCTGACTCCTCCTCATTGTATAAACTCTGTTCCCAGCTTTTTCCCCACTCCATTCTTTTTGTCCAGGGCTCAACTGGAAAATGGTCAAATTAATTCCCTCGAGATTTTCTGGGCCTTTCCTTTCTTTCCACCTCCAACTTTTGACCACTAACATTTCCATGGTTGCTCAATCTCTTTTCCCTTTGTTCTCTGAAGTCTGGCATTTTTTTTTTTTTTTTACCGATAAAGATTGCTTAATTTTGACTTTAGAAAAGCAATTAATAATAGCAATTATACATATGCTGGAGCTTTTGAATATTCTACATTATGAGCAAACATAGCACTAATGAATGAGAACATTAATTGATTTGTAATGGTTTTGAAAAACAGTTGAATTGTCTGCTTGCCAGGGTTGAAGTAGAACTAAGAGGGGTACACACACACTTAACCCAGACGACAGCCAGGGGCTTCCTGGCATTTGTGTCTGCACATGCATGATCCGTTTTGGTCCTTCAATAACTGGTAACCAGAAGACAGAACTTTGTACCTTCACTTGTTTCTGAAAGAAACCCAAACACAGCAGGCATTGAAGTCTTTGCTGCAGTTTTTTTTTTTTTTTTGGGGGGGGGTCACATTGTACATAACACAGAATTCCACTCAAGAAATCCTTAACATTTTATGTCCTCCAGTCCTCTTGGGCTATGTGGTGTAGGAATTTTCTTACTCTTCCCCTGGCAGAGTCCAGACTCTCTGGTTCCATTCTTCCTCCAGAATTTTCCTCTTGAAACATCAAATATCTCTTGCCTTTGTAATGCAAAGCAATTCAACTCACATCTTTTATTTGAGCAAGCAATAGGAGTCTCTTATGCCAAATAGCTATCAAAAATTTCTTCTGGGCGGGGCACAGTGGCTCACACTTGTAATCCTAGCACTGTGGGAAGATCACTTGAGGCCAGGAGATTGAGACCAGCCTGAGCAACATAGTGAGACTACATCTCTACAAAAATAGAAAAATTAGCCACTGCCATGCCTATAGTCCCAACTACTTAGGAGACTGGGGCAGGAAGATTTCTTGAGCCCAGGTGTTTGAGGTTGCAGTGAGCTATATGTCACTGCACTGTATGTAGCCCAGGCAACAGATCAAGATCCTGTCTCAAAAAAAAAAAAATTTCTTCTGAACAATGAATAGGCAATATTTTTAAAAATATAATCACCATCTTCAAAAACAACAACTTAAACATTTTTTTAAAGTGACATAAATCACTTTTCTTTCAGGAATATAAGTAAATATTAGAGGAATTAGGGAAGAATGATGTCCCCTTCAGCCTATCCTTGAAGGTACTCAAAGGACAGTGACTGGTCAACCAGAGGAAATATAAGCTGACAAATGTCAACATGTGTCCCTTCTGCAAGTATGGACTACTCAGAGACTGGCATTCTAGACATGTTATGTCTGTTCTTCTTGCCCTTCCACCCTTTACAGGATGGATTCCTGGCCTAGAAAGGTACAATAGCTAATTCAGAATTTCCTCGTCCTGCCTTTGGGTGTTCCAAGACCTCAAAATCCCTTCCTCCCTATCTCCCATGTCTCTTTGCTTTTGCTTCTCCTTTGTCAGTTCTGAGAAATTTGGAAATCTCGTCCTTGTCTAGATTCTCACTAACAGTCTTAGCAAAACTCATGGCTAGTGCTTACACAACCCTATGCCAAGACAAACATAATGGAATGCTTTAAGGAAACTTCTAAAGTTCACACAGAAATTGAGGTATGTATTAGAATTCTACTCTCCTACTTTTCTTTGCATCTCTGACTCAGGAATTGGAACATAATTATTTTATAATTAAAGGTCTGAAAATAAGCATGTATAGATTTTTCCAGGTGATAAGGCATTTTCAAATGTTGTCTCATGTAACCCTTTGACACCCCAGTAATCTGGATATTATCTTCACTTTACAGATATCCCTGTAACTTCCCTGACAACAGGCACCATGTCTGTCTGTCTGTCTGTTTCCACCAACATACATGTAATACTTAGCAGAGTATGTGACACTTAGTAGAGTCTCAATAAATATTTGTTGAATGAATAAAAATTAGAAACCTAATATTAAAAATTGAAATGAAATTAATATCTACTTAGTACCTACTGTGTGCTGATCACTGAGCTAAATATTTTCATTTACATTTTATCTGAACAATATTCCCATGATCTTTACCAAATCCTAGTACTAGATGGTACAAGCAAATGGATTCTATTTTATTAGTCTGAATATTAGTTGTACTTATTCTACTCTATGGGTTTGCCTCACTATATATAAGGCATGTCTAGATCCTTTCTATTACCTCACAATTTAGCTCTTTTCTGAAAGATATTTCTAGATCTTAGGTCAGTATTCATATAATATTTAAAGCTTTAATTTGAAGAAAACATCATGAGTACAGAACTAACTTAGAAGGGGCAATAGGTAGGCTTATTTGGTTATTTCTGAGAAATAAAAAGAAAAAAAGTATGAGCCCTAAAAGTTCAGTGCTGAGAATAATCACATTAAGTTTTGTTTTGTGTTGTTTTCTTAAAGAAATGATCTGAATTAGGTTTGTAGACATTCCAAATGTCACATACAATACAACAGGAATAAATAACAGTCCCGCTTAAGGTTCAGGAAGGCATTCATTTTAAAACGAAATCATCTCACTTGTATCTAGCAAGGGCTTCATTTTGACAGCTTCACCTGTGTTTGCTGTAAGGATTTATCAGTGTCTTGAGGGACAAAGTGATGAGTCCACTCAGATGAGAGATTTCAGACCAAATGAAATACACAAGTTTGTTCAGAGGATAAAGAGTCAGTGGGGAAGAGAAATGATAATTTTTAGATTAGTAGTCATGGAACCCTTAAAGAAACTTTATTCCTAGTGTTTACGGTGGAGCTACCAGTTACAGTCACACACCCATTTTCAGAGGTGGAAACATGACGCAAGTGTTCTGTCAATTGTCAATTATATTCACCTTCTGAGGGATTTGAATTAGAGCAAAGATCTGTAACATGATCCACTGAGGTCACCTCAAAAACAAAGCCTTCAAGTTCCTGCAGCTAAGAGAAACCTGGATCTTTCATTTTGGCAACCTGATCTGTATTCTGCAAGTTGATCTCATTTTCTTGTTTTAGTTATAGTTCCTTTTGCTCTTAATCAAAGGATGCAGGGACCATACATAATTTCACTATTATATTTCTTGTCCCTGACTCTGTACTTAGTTCTTGGTAGGTATTATTTTCTGAGTGATCAAACCATGTGGGTGAATAAGTATACTCTAACTCCTTAAAATACTTCTGGCCTTTGAGATTTAAAAGATAATTTATACCTTAAATCTAAAATCTAAACTTTTATTAAACATCTAAAATAATGTGACAGAGACAGATAAGTATACTAATTTGAAAAGTTAGATTTGAAAAGGTAAAAAAATAACTTTTGTAGTTTCTACTACATGTTGTTCTATTTTACAGCCATAAAATATAATTTATACTCAATTCTTATTCTCATTGATGAATAATGTTTTAACATATTTCATCTCACTCTAACCTGTGGACATTATTGGACTATCTACATAAAAGTATTTTACTTTTTCACAGCCATCAATTCACTAAAACTTATTGCTACTTTTAATTTTTTTGAGCACCTACACCAGTAATTACTAACCTGGATACATATGCCTTTAAGGGTTCATGATAGCTTTCCAAGAACTTTTTAGGCAATAAAAGATTTAAGAAAAATCTATTTTCATGTTTTCAACTTCTACTTTTTGGTAAAATTGGTCCGCCTGAGAATAGGCCTGTGGCCAAGGCTTCAATTTGGTTTTCCTCTCCCATCTCCCCATCTCACAACCAAACATATCTCATATGGCAAAAGAAGGGGCTGCTTTTCACCTATCCCAACTCTTATTGAAGTGTCTGCAACTTTCTTTACCCACGTCACCACCAACCTTTGATAGGGCTTTTGTCTTTCCTATTGTCATACATATTTCTGTTCTGGACAAAATGTGAAATTAAAAAAATGGGATATTTTGCCTGTGCTGGGATATTCTGAAATCAGATATTCATATACTTCTAATGTTGGGTTAAGAGGAGTCATGACAATTTTCTTTTAAAGACGGATATCTTCTTCTATCTCTCTAATTCTTTCTAGAGAAATTACGGATGTGCAGAGGAAGTTCCTGAGAAGAAAGCAAAAAAAGTGTATCAGTAGTAAGTATGGAAGGGCATCTTAAGTTATGTTATCTCGGTGAGAAACTCTTGGAAAAGCCTTGTGTCCTGTCTGCTTATCTATTTATCTAACTGCCTACTTATCTCAGAATTAGAAGAGTTACGATTTATATATATAAAAAAAATGCATGAACCCATTGGTCAAAGATAGGAATAACTGAGGAAAGAGGCGACTTATCAACATTTTCCTCTGCTGAGGTTACTCCTTAGGCAGCATTCACATAGACAAACATGTTTACATTTTATGTTCATTTGGAGAGGTCTATCTACATGCCTCTTCCCTAGACCTCCTTGTCAATCACTTTTCTTCAACATAACCTAACCATACAACTGAACTATTAGGCACTGCCCATGTATAAATGTGTGTCTGTACTTCTGGCCATCTCTCCTTCTAAGAAGAGCAAAGCACCAGGTACATGGCCCTAAGTTCTGCTTACTCAGAGGATTTCTCTTTACAACTCTTCGTCAGAGCCACCTCTGAATGGGGCTGTAGTATTGTAGCTGTCCACTTTTGGGTGGTATAAGCATAGCAGGCAGTACTCTCTGTAAAGCAAGCTGAGGAGTTTTTCTTTTTTTTTTTCTTTCTAAGTCAATACATCATAGAAAATGGTTGTGGGTTGATAAAGAGGAGGTTAATATAGCAGAAATATGAACCTTGGTAGTCATAGCCCCTTGTTCATGGAAATTACTTGTGCCTTTAGGACTTTCTTGGGCTTCATATATAATGGCTCCACATGGTGATGGAGTGCTGCTGTGTACATTCAACTTTATGGCTTGGTACATCAGACCCAGTTCACTATGGGCATTTCAGGTTGCATGGTAATTTGGTGGCTGTGGTCAAGTGTTTTGTCTCCATGAAGGCTCTGAGGTAAGCCAGTAGTTTCTTTCCAAGAGGAGAACAGTTACATACAGAAAAGGATAGTGGTTTTTCTCTGAAATCTTAAATGTTTATTCTCTGATTCTCCCTTAGGGAACTTCCAATGACTCCATACAGTATCTCTATCTTCCATAGATATTTCAGTCACCATCATATCTGCTGGGTGACATAAATAAGGTGGCTGGACAGATTTTATCACAGCCTGTACTTGTTCAGAGCCTGGCCTTACTCTGGACCCTGCTCAGAACTATAAGCCTTCTGGGTTACTCAATAAATGGATCAGATTATGAGACACAAATGAGGTATACATTGTCCCCGAAACCCAAAGAGCCCCACTAGGTGTCATGCCTCTTTCTTGAGATAAGAAAATTCAAACACAGTAATTTGTTTTTCTTGAGGTCTGGCCACTGGACCCCTAAAATTTCATCAAGATGGCATATGTGTGCCAAACAGAATATCTAAAGAAGTGCTATTTTCTCTTCACAAGGTCCAGTCAGCATTATAACATTAATTTAGTGGACCAGTGTATTACCTTGTGGAAAGAAGAAATGATAAACATCCCTTTTAGGCAGGGTGGGTGGCTCACGCCTGTAATCCTAGCACTCTGGGAGGCCGAGGCGAGAAGATTATTCAAGGTCAGGAGTTCGAAATCAGCCTGAGCAAGAATGAGACCCCATCTCTACTAAAAATAGAAAGAAATTAATTGGCCAACTAAAAATATATAGAAAAAATTATCTGGGCATGGTGGCACATGCCTGTAGTCCCAGCTACTCAGGGAGGCTGAGGCAGAAGGATTGCTTGAGCCCAGGAGTTTGAGGTTGCTGTGAGCTAGGCTGACACCATGGCACTCACTCTAGCTCAGGCAACAGAGTGAGACTCTGTCTCAAAAAAAAAAATCCCTTTTGACTGGCTTATGATTATGACAGCTGAAGATTTGATATATGTAGAACAGTGAATGTGTATTGCTGGCCCCATCAAGTGGAGGAGAACTTCACTTACCAGAGTAATAGCTGCAATGTGCCAGAGGATGTGTTGCTATGCTGCAGTAAATGAACCACATCTGGAATGGCAGCTGCAGTTTGAATCATCACCTTATTACTCTTACACACCATCATAAGCCCACCCAGAGTCAAGGGGCAGAAACATAAACAGACAGAAATATGGCGGTAACTTGTTTCCTGCCAATCAGGGATCCCATCATTTCTGTTGAACCCAGGGAGCTTTTTTGTTTCAGTGAGCAAATTTTGATTACTACATTTTTTTTCTTTTTTACTGCCAATCCTGGTCTGCAGAGAATAGCTGTTCCAGAGCTCTTCAGGGATATTGATGGTCCCCTCATGAATGCATTTCTCAGACCCTCAGAGAAGAGAATGACCAGTAGGACTTCCAAGAAGACTTATCAAGTGGGTGAGCAGGTATTACCTGATAAATCCATTCCAGCGGTGTGAGCTCCCTAAGTCTCTAGGAGTCTTCTTCTAGCCGGGGTCAGCAAACGATAGCCCACAGGTTGGCTGCCTGGTTTTGCAAATAAATTTTACTGGAATATAATTCCACACCAATTTATTTACTTATTGTCTAGGGTTGCGTGTCGGCTAAAATGGAAGAGTTAAATAGTTGTAACATAGGCTGCACAGCCCAGAATCACAATATAATTTCTATCTGACTCTTTAAGAAAAAAAATGTGCTTATGCAGACTTTTGCCAGTATTCCAAAGTAGTTCTGGTATCTTAAATTCATTCAGTATAAGCCGCTTCCAAGTCCAAGATTTAGCCAACCAACTAAGCAACTGGTTAGAGCCATTCCCATATTGGCAGATTAGCTCATCAAATCTATGATCTCTGCTTAGTGCATCCATATCCGTATATTGTGCCCTTCCAACTTTAGATTTATTTAACCTGGTCCAATACTTGTAGGATGCACTCCTGCTCATAATGTCAGTTAGAATTGAGCAAAATATTGCAACCGTTGTGGTGTGTATGTATGTTCTCATGGGACATACTTGGTAGGTGAACTCCTGGATCTGTGTATAGATCTAGAAGCAATGGGAGGTTAGGGGAGGAGATCCTGAGAAACATCAGATCCTGAGAAACATCAGTAGTATTCTAAACACAAGACCCTTCACTTCAGACAATAGGAGACTGATCTCAGAAAGAGAGAAATGTTACTTTGAGGGTTACAAAGTCAGTTCTTCAGAATTTGGGGGTTCAAAGTCCTCAGCTTTATCAGAATTTGTTCATAGTCCCTCCTCCCAAATTTCAGGGTCTTACTCTTCTTCCTATCAGTGCTTTAAGAGACCCTGGAAAGTTGTGAATTCGATTTGTATTGTGTTTCAGCCATCCACAGGATTGTATTTTGGATTGGTTTTAAAAAGCTCAATTCTGTAACCACAGAAGATAAAAATCACCTTTAGGGTCATTATGGAAGTTTTTGGTTCCATATTAAGAGCTTGAGCTGGGAGTGTAAAGCCTAATCTCATTCATTTTTCCCTCTCCAAATTCTTTAGCACATTCAGAAACAACCAAATCAATCCACAGTAATTTTACTTATTCCCACTAAATTGTTATATGGCAGCAACCACTTGGACGAGTGAGGTCTTTCCAAGTGGCTCTAGGAGATACTGTAAGTAGTGGATTACCATTGCCCCATTTGCCACCACCATTGGAATCCTTGATGTCTTTACATCCAGCCAGATGAAGAAACCAATTCCAGATTTCTGATACTAAGATTTTGTTACTCTGGGATTGCTTTAGGCAACAATAATTGCATTAGTCAGGAAGCAGAGTCATCAGGCATATTGTGGAAATAAGAGATTTATTACAGGAATTAGACTTTACCAATTGTGTGAGGAACTGGGAAAGTGAAAGTGCAGAAGGGAAATTTGGAGGATCAGAGAAAAAAAGCATTCACCAGGCCACCTGGAACACTATGGCAGGTGGACATGATGGAGCTTGCAGAGAACTCCCAAAGCCAAGGGTGTCAGTTGCTAGTCTGGACCGTGAAGGGGGAACTCATAGACAGGTGTACGGGAAGCTGTGGATTCTGTTTAGCAACTGCCTCTGTGAGTCCGCAACCAAGCAGCTGGTGGTGGTCTGGGGGCTGCTGGTGTGGGTCAGCTGGACCAACAGTTGGAAAGATGAGCTGGAAAGGAAGTGGAGAGGTGTGATGAAAAGCTGGAAAGTGAAGGTGCTGAGTCAAACAGACCCTTCTAGTTTCATCACTTACTCTTGTGATCTCAGGATCATTAATTAATTTTTATAAACTTCCATTTTCCTAGTTGTAAGTGTGGATAAAAGATCTACCTTTAAGGTCTACATGTATGCCCTGTAACATTTTTTGGAAATCTATTTATCCTCCTGTCCGTTGTTAAGTTGACAATAAAATTTTTTCATCATAAGTTAAAACAGTTTCAAAAGATGTGATTTCTTATCATATTTTAATTGTTGATCTTTGATAACAAAATTGTAATATCATTATTTTCAATGTATCCATCCAATATAATCTATATACTATAGCAACTTTATGCTCACCATCATCAATTTTTGAAATACATGAATAAGCTCTTCTTTAACAACCAGCAATTTTACATTGTTCCATTTTCTCTTTGAATTCATATTACCATTCCATTTCTCTCATAGAATTTTATCTTAACATAATATATTTTTATGCTTGAAGGTCTTTTACTGATAACATTTTATATCTTTCTGCAGTAAAAATATGTACATAAATTGAAATGAGTTTTTTTTTTCTCTTGACCATAAGACCTAATAAATTTTTTTCATCTGGATTAAGATATTATTACAATAGTAATAGTACTGGCACACTATTGATCAAACAAACTTAGACATATTGCAGAAATTGAAAAGTAAACCTAAGTAAAGTTTAATTAGAAATGTGCATTCTAATATGTGTATATACATCTGCATGCATATGAATATATAGAACTGCCTTCTCTGACAGTGAGAAGTTTGGATTCCATCATCCTCAATATACTTACTAATTTGATTAATCTCACCTGTTAGTAACCAACCTGGCATCACCATCGCCATCACCTCCAATCTCCCCATTCCTACAACCTGATCCCCCTTCTTAGGCTCTGACATTCCACCCACTGTGCAGGTGCTTTCTTCATCCTGCTCAGGCTCCCACGCTGGGTGCCAGGCTTGCATTCCTACTTCCTCCTTTTGAGTTTTTTATTCTGCCCTACCTATTGCCTTTTGGAATAATTAATTCAGAAAGCAAACGAAGGAGAGGGGGGGGGAAAGAGCATGTGTTTTTTACAAATCTTAACTCTTCTAATTCTGAGATAGGTAGGCAGTTAGATAAATAGGTAACCAGACAGGGCACAAGGATTTTCCAAGAGTTTCTCACCTAGATAACATAACTTAAGATGCTCTTCCACACTTACTACTGATACACTTGTTTTGCTTTCTTCTCAGGAATGTCCTCTGCACATCAGTAATTTCACTGGAAAGAATTAGAGAGATAGAAGAAGATATCCGTCTTTAAAAGAAAATTGTCACGACTCCTCTGACCCAACGTTACAAATATATGAATATCTGATTTCAGAATATCTCACCACAGGCAAAATATCCCATTTTTTAAATTTCACATTTTGTCCAGAGTATAGAAATATGTATGGCAATGGGAAAGACAAAAGCCCTATCAAAGGTTGGTGGTGACGTGGGTAAAGAAAGTTGCAGACACTTCAGTAAGAGTTGGGATAGGTGAAAGGCAGCCCCTTCTTTTGCCACATGAGACATGTTTGGTTGTGAGATGGGGAGATGGGAAAGAAAAACCCAACAGAAGCCTTGGCCACAGGCCTATTGTCAGGCAGACTGATTTCACCAAAAAGTAGAAGTTGAAAACATGAAAATAGATTTTCTTAAATCTTTTATTGCCTAAAAAGTTCTTGGAAAGCCATCATGAACCCTTAAAGGCATATGTACCCAGGTTAGTAGATGTAGATGCTCAAAAAAAATTAAAAGTAGCAATAAGTTTTAGTGAATTGATGCTGTGAAAAAATAAAATGACTTTATGTAGATAGTCCAATAATGTCCCACAGGTTTAGATGAGACTGAATATGTATAAAACATTATTCATCAATGAGAATAAGAATTGAGTATAAATTATACTTTATGGTTATAAAAATAGAACAACATGTAGTAGAAACTACAAAAGTTATTTTTTAAATTTCTTAGTTTTTTACCTTTTTAAATCCAACTTTTCAAATTAGTATACTTATCTGTCTCTGTCACATTATTTTAGATGTTTAATAAAAGTTTAGATTTTAGATTTAAGGTATAAATTATCTTTTAAATCTCAAAGGCCAGAAGTACTTTTAGGAGTTAGAGTATACTTATTCACCCACAGGGTTTGATCACTCAGCAAATAGTGCCTGCCAAGAAGTACAGAGTCAGACACAGGGAATATAATAGTGAAATTATGTATGGTCCCTGCATCCTTTGATTAAGAGCAAAAAGAACTATAACTAAAACAAGAAAATGAGATCAACTTGAAGAATACAGATCAGGTTGCCAAAATGAAAGATCCAGGTGTCTCTGTAGATCTTAGCTGCAGGAACTTGAAGGCTTTGTTTTTGAGGTGACCTCAGTGGATCATGTTACAGATCTTTGCTCTAATTCAAATCCCTTAGAAGGTGAATATAATTGACAATTGACAGAGCGGTTGGGTCATGTTTCCACCTCTGAAAATGGGTGTGTGACTGTAACTGGTAGCTCCGCTGTAAACACTAGGAATAAAGTTCCTTTAAGAGGGAAAGGTGTTCTACTGGAAAAAAGAGAGAAAGTGTATTGAGAGGTAGGAATGTTTGCTCCCACTTATCATATACTAAAATCTGTGCTGAGTTCATCTCCTTATACAAAAGTCAACCTAGTTTCTATTAGTTTAAACTTTTAAACTCTGATACAGCATCTACAATGCTGCTTTGCCCCACCCTTTCTCTTTCTCTTTCTTACTACTAGCTATATTGTCCAGCTTCATTTGAGAGAATGAAGCCAGCCCATAATCATCATCTTTTATTTAAAATGTATTTAAAAGTCAGTGAATAATATTATTCTATAATCATAATATTTAAAATAGAGCTATAATAATTTTCAGATTTGTAAAAAATCTTTTTAATATATACATATGCACATACGTGTGCTATCGGATGCACTTATGAATGCTGTTCTCATTGTGCAGCACGTTACACAGGGAAGTGGCTCGATCACTCATCAGCACCTGCAATCTGTAGCATCTGCACATGTGGCCTACTAATGTTTAAGGTGAAAGGAATGTTCCTTGGCAACATGTTTAATAGAGAAAGGATAGTGCAGGGGACTCGGTGAGACTGTTAGGTTCGCCTGCGTGGATGTTCCCTGGTTCTCAGTGTCAAGAATGAGTCCTGGTATCGAGTCCTGCTGATGACAGAGTGATCACAAACACAGAGCAATCTTATACAGTTTACATGAAAGAAAGAACGAAAGTATAGAGGGAAGCTACACAAAGTGAAAATACATTCCAGAGAGAGGGGAAAGGGTCAGTCTCCACGGGTAGAGAAAGAGGCTGGAGGCTGAGCACACACTGCCTTTCATAAACCCACTAGTTTGTCCCGCCTTTTCCCTGGCAGGATCAGTTGCTGTTTCTCGCCTTTGGGGGTGATTGACAGGCTGTTGTTATAGAACAGATCACATAATAGGTTACGTAACAGAGTAGGTTATATAATAGTTTTCCTGTCTGCACATGCATCTTTTCTAGAATTCTCCATGAAGCTCCATCCATGTTATGCTAACAAGATGGCAATGAGCTCTAAGTCAGTTAAAGGTTACTGGGAACTTTTTACCATGTATTTACCCACCAGGGAACAGTTGCTAGCTGCATTTGGTTCCTAGCTACCATTCAGTGCCCACTCTCCACCCCTCACCACTCCCTTGCCTCTTCTCCTGTTCACCCTCCACCAGACCTAACAGGACCTATTAATAGCACATAAAAGGGACCCAGTTTCTTTTTGCTGTGGTCATGCAGTGTTTTCTACCTTAATGTCCTTTTTAAATATTTGGGTTTTAGTTTGGGTTTTTATTTTTATTTTTTTCCCCTGTTAACAAACATTGTAGTAGCTCTGGAGCCTCAGTGATTGACCTAGACATGGAACCTGTGCACCCAACTTGTATTTTCAATATTTATCAATAATGACACATTTCAAACATTGCCCATCACTGCAGTGCTGCAAGCTGAAGCTTTAAGGGGAAAATACACACACCCCTGAAAATAAGCCCTAGGTTTTTCTAAGGAAAAATAATATAAGTCCTGTCTAATTTTAGGGAAACATGGTATCCTCCCAAAAAAATACAACGAGTAAGAATTGGAAAAAAATGATAAGGTATCACGCCTCTGAGGAATTAACTGGAGATGCTGTATTGGTATGTACACGATTTATAGACTCCAGGTTCATCCATGATGTTCTAAGCATTTAGTGATTCAAATTCACTTAGCAATTTTGTGAGGAAATATATACATATTTGGGTAGAAGATATATGAATATATATATACTACAATTGTGTGTGTTGTGTGTGTGTGTGCATGTGTGTGTGCCTTCAAATCCAAGGCTAACAGGAATATTGGGCTTTGCTATGCTAAATTCTTATTAAAATTTCAATAAAGGTGTTTTTCACTACCTCTTCATTCTTACTTTGTTAATTATGCATAAAAAGGGTCAACTGGACCCAGATGGTAAATAGTGGTGATGGTAAATGGTGATGATAAATTTTTCTATCAAGGTTAAATGTTCTTTGTTTAGTCTCCTTGAGGTATCAAAGACATAGTTTTTAATTTCTATTGCTCCATACATAACTTTTATTGGACTAGAACATGCCTTATTTGGTCTACCTTCATGTTTCCATATTCAGCTTGCTTGCTTCTCAGCTATCCTTAGATCTATCACTGTCCTTGGTTTCCTTTGTCTTCTCGCCACATCCTTCAGTCTCTTGTTCTCTACCCCTCCAGTCTCCCTCCCCATCATCACCAGCACTTGGATTCACTGAGACCCCTCCCAAG